AAACCGGGGGTGCGCGGACGTCGGGGCCGCCGCAGCGGACTCTGCCCTCCTCCAGCGGCTGGAGGCCCGGCCTGGGCGCGCGGCGCTCGGCCCTTCACGTGACCGCGGCGGGGCGGCCGCGGAGGGCTCCAGGCTCCGGCCCCTTCCAGGGACGCCGGCTGGGCCGGGCCGGGGAAGCTGGTGGGGTCGGGGGGCGGGGGAGGGGTGTGGGACGTGCGGGGACCACGGGGGGAAGAGCTCGGGCGGGCGGCCGCGTGGGTCAGAGCCCGCCCGGTTAAGTGACACCCACTGTATGCCCTGAGTGTGGGCACTCACCAGCTCTCCGAACCGTGGAATGGGAAGAATACCTTCCTCCCAGGCTGTTTTGGAGAATTTAATGAGCTGATGTAAGTGCAGGGGCTGCCGGGGGCGGGGTGGGAGGGCAGTAAATGTGAGTTCCCTCTAGGTCCTGGGGGAGCCCCTACCCCTTAGAGCAGAGTGTGGGCTCCTAGTGGGTTCCCTGGGGCAAATACCTCCCGAGAGGGGGCGCAGACTGTCCCCTCTTTCCATGGGGGCGCCCCCACTTCCAGCCCGACATGGAACCTGGGGGCTGGCAGAGCTGCTGAAATTTCCAGAGTAAACGGAAATCTGGATTTTCATGAGACTGCTCTTGATTTTTTAAAATGTTGCTCATGAATTTTAAACAATGATACTGCCGGGCACTGGTGCTCACTCCTGTAATCCCAGCACTTTGGGAGGCTGAGTTTGGAATATCGCTTGAGGCCAGGAGTTCCAGGCCAGTCTGAGCAAAAAGGTGAGACCTCTTCGCTACAAAAAATATCAAGAGAAATTAGCCAGATGTGGTGGGACACTCCTGTAGTCCCAGCACTTTGCGAGACCGAGGTGGAAGGATTGATTGAGCCCAGGAGTTAGAGCCCGAGGTGGGAGGTCTTGTCTCTACACAAAAAATAAAAAGATTAGCCAGCCGTGGTGGCACACACTTGTAGTCTCAGCTACTTGGAAATCTGAGGCAGAAGGATGGCCTGATCCCAGGAGGTCACTCCAGCCTCGGCAACAGAGTGAGACTCCCGCTCAAAAAATACAAATTAAAACAAAATAAAATAATAATAATGCTAAATGCCTAGGGACTGACTGTCAGTGAGCCTTAGTGGGCAGGGCAACTGGTCCTGGGCTCCAGTACCAACCAACTCCAATGATTCCTCCCAGCGGAGGATGAGACCTGCAAGGGCAATGACTAGCCCTGTCACCTAGCAGGAGGCACAGTGTCCCGCCGGGTGCTTCATCAGGACTTAATGCTGGGTACTGACAGCTGGCAGATTCAAGGGGGGAGACTGTGGCAGGCAGAATTATGGCCCCCCAAAAGATTTCACACCCCAATCCCTGGAACTATGGATCTGCTACTTTACACAGCAAAAAAGACTTGGCAGATGTAATTTCGGTTACTAATCAGGTGGCCTTAAAAATGGGAAGGTTATAATAATAATCAGTTTTGCGGGCACAGGGGACAAAAAAATGTGTTAAATGACTCAAAGAGATATAATTAATAAGATCCAGATTGTGGGAAACTCTACAGGACAAGCCACCTATTCATTTTCTTCAACAAGTAAATTCAAAAAAAGAAAGAAACAGAAGGGAGGAGAGGAGAGGAATCTATAGCTCAAAAGAGATTTAAAAGATACATCAACCAATTTCAAGTTGGATCTTAAACAAATTGTAAAAAATATGAGAAATTTTGAACTAAGTGGATATTTGATTTCTTTTTTCTTGTGTGTGTGTGTGTGTGTGTGTGTGAGAGAGACAAAAAAGAGAGAGAGAGAGAGAGAGAGAGAGAGAGAGAGAGAGAGAGAACACGCACGCCGTAAGATCTGGCTTTGTCTCCCAGGCTAAGAGTGCAGTGGTGCAATCACAGCTCACATCAGCCTTGAACTCCTGAGCTCAAGTGATTCTCCTACCTCAGTTTCCCAAGTAGCTGGTACTACAGGCACATACCACCACATTCTGTTAATTTTTTAAAAAATTTTATAGAGATGGTGTCTTGCTTGTTACCCAGGTTGGTCTCAGACTCCCGATCTCAAGCAATCCTTCCACCTCAGCCTCCCAAAGCATTAGGATTACAGGTGCGAGCTACACAAAGACACCCGACCAAATGTTTGATAATTAAAATAATTATTGCATTTTTAGATGTGATAATGATGTCGTTATGTTTTTTGGAAAGAATTATTCTCTTTTAGAGATAAACATTAAAATATTTATAGGTAAAATATTTATGAGATTTGCATTAAGCTAATCCAGGATAATGAAGGGTGGGTAAGGCTTACAAATGGAACACAATTGGCCAAGAGTTGATGAATGTTGTACCTGTATAATGGTGGCATAGTGTTTAGTACGATTCTTCCTACTTTTGTATATACTTTAAATTATCCATAATGAATTTTAAAAATTGATAACTTTTTCTGATTTGACTCCTCAAATTTAGGAGCATTACCTTGAGATATCCCTAAAAACGACCTTTATTTTTTTCTCTTTTCTTTTGTTAGAGACAGGTCTGACTCTGTCACCCAGGCTGAATCAGAATTCCCTGCAGCCTCCAACTCCTGGACTCCAGCAATCCTCCCACTTCAGCCTCCCAAATAGTTAGGACAACCACCAATCCCAGCTATTTTTTTTAAAGGGTTTTTGTAGAGACCAGGGTCTAGCTTTGTTGCCCAGGCTGGTCTCAAACTTCTGACGTCAGCAAAAAGTCCTTTTTTTTTTCCACTCAGGATTTTCATGGTGACACATCAGGTATCCAGTCTCTAAAATATGGTGGACAAAGTCTGATCTGAATCACTTATCACCTACCTATTTGGAGACAAACTTATATATAGTGGCGTTCTCCTTGGTTCACGCTGAGTCATCCGTTCTAAAGTTTTCTGTTTGTGGAGAAATATTCCAGAAACTGGAGAGGAGGGAGATAATAGGAGACCCACAGTCAAGCCAATAACACAATGATGGGGCTGCCAAAATATAGAAAAGGAGAAGAGCAGAAAGAAACAAACAACACAAACATATGGACAGGTAAGATCTACACCAGTGTTTCTCAAATCTGCCTGCCCAGCAGAGTCATTTGTGGCACTTGTTAAAGATATAGATGCTCAAATCCTGTGTCTGAAAATGCTGCCTTGGTAGGTCTGGCTTTGGGTCCCCTGTGATGTTTTATAACAAGTCCATGGGCGACTTCCATGCCTGGTAGAGTAGAAGAACCACTGGTCTACATTGCTAATTACAAATAATTCCCCAGTGTTTCTCAGGAGCCTATTGTGGTTGGAGTTTTCAGACTCTTGGTATAACCTCAGCAATAAAATAAGAGAGGGGAAAAAAAGAATAGAGCAAATAAAGCCTCTGCTCATGGAATCTACTTTTTAGATTGGGAAAAAAGTTGAAAGTATAGTTGATTCTCTTTATTCTCATCCTAAAGCCACTGCAAACAGTGAATTAGCAAATTCTAAAACACAGCTCCTAGGGGAGATGCAGGTTTAGGTATTTGTTAAAACCTCCTCAAATCCTCCTCATCTGAGTGCCACATCTTTTCCCTGCTGAGACCTAGAGAGGTATATCCTCTCACCTCCATTCCCATCCAATTTTTCTCTTGTTTGACATTTTAGTCAAACAATCAATCTATCATCTTGTTTTATATGTGTTCCTGTTTCCATCAACATTGAACTCATGGCCAACTGCACTGTAGCTCATGCCCGAATGAAGCTTATCTAGCCTGAATTTTCTCCATGAGGCACAGTGTTGCCTTCTTATATTAGAAATACTAGATAGCACTTCAGTACTACACTGGGGGTTATATCAAACGCAAAATCGTCAATAAAAATCACAACAAATACAAAA